CAGACGTGAGCCTTGTTGTTGGTTAATGATGTTGTTGAAAATGTTGTGTTATGTGATGAAAATGTTGTGTGTTGATAATATTGATTAATGATGTTGTTGGTTATGCTTTTGTGATGAAGATGGGATGTAAATGAGAAGCATGATGTGAAGTGTGTAGATGTGTTGAGATTTATATAGAAGTTATTAGTAGAATGTGTTGCTAAGTTGTTAGAGGAAAGTTGTATGTTGCTATAAAGTTGTATGTTGTACTATGTGTTGAAAGATATTATTTTATGATGATTGAGTTGTAGATTATGAGTTGAGTCGTTAAGTTGTTGAGTTGATCATGTTGTTTAAGTTGTTGAGTTGAGCTGTGCTATTGAGTTAATCATGTTGTTTAAGTTGTTGAGCTGAGTTGTACTGTTGAGTTGATCATGTTGTTTAAGTTGTTGAGCTGAGTTGTGCTGTTGAGTTGATCATGCTATTTAAGTTGTTGAGCTGAGCTGTGCTGTTGAGTTGTAAGATGATTAAGCTATGATGATAAGTTGTTGATCACTAGGACTAGAGGAGATGTTTTCAAAGTTTCTCATCCAATTGTGTGGATTGAGATAGTTGTGGTGCTCTGACAGCCCAATTTGTTGAAAAACCCTTCTTGGGAAGTTGTCCCTTGGAGTGGACGTTGTGTTGTTCTCCTCTAGGACTTAGTTGGTCCCGTGCGTGGGCAAGGTCGAGGTACACATGTACAAAGCAATCACGGTATAGGGGCAAGGTCGAGCTATACCGATTACAAAGCGACCACAGTATAGGGGCAAGGTCGAGTTATACCGATTACAAAGCGACCACGGTATAGGGGCCAGGTCGAGCTATACCGATTACAAGCGGCCAATTTGAGTAAAGTACGAAGTCGGGAACTTAGTTCCTAACCGAGTATCGGAGGGTTGTATTATTTGGAGGATAGTCGGTAGGCTAATCCCATAGATGGCTTAGTTGAGCTAGCTAATGTCGTGGTAGGCCTAAACCCAGTTGTTCTATCCTAAATAGTACTATACTTTCTTGTTTAAGTGGCAAAGTCTGAGAAATCGTTATCATGTTGTGGCTTGGCATCCAAATTTGTTGTTTACCTAGCAAGCCCAAAAAGGTTCTTTATTGTCGGTTCGGTAAGACCTAGCCACTTAAATTGCTCACCCATGTTGTAGGAGATCTCCGAGTTGAAATGTGTGACGACGAATAAGTTGTTGATGAGTTGTATATATGTTACTGTGTTGTTAAGCTATGATTGTGTTGTATGTTGACACTGTTGAGGATGATGATAGTGTTGTTATTTTGTAAGTTGCTTTTAAACATGTGTTGTTGAGAGGTGTGTAATACATGTGTTGGTTGTTGTTATGATGAATATGGTAACTATTCCAATGGTTTGTACACTAGTTGCGATGAAGTGTTGATATAGTGGTGATATGTTGAATCCAGTTGAAATGACGCTAAGATGTATAGTATATGTGTTTTTGTCTTCTATGTTGGATGTGAAGATGATTATATAGTTGGTGTGTTACATTTTTAATTATTATAAGTTGTTTATTGTCTCTAGCTTACCGTTGCATGTTTCCATGTAGTTTGGACTGCGATGATCATACGATGTATGGGAGCAGGGCAGGGATAGGCTGGGAGATAGCGGCTAGAGGCCACAAGAGGTGTCTGGAGTTGGATATTTTTTTGTAGGCTACCTTATAGTAGCATATTTTGTTGTATATAGCTGGTTGTTGTTGGTTGCTTGATTAGCAACTTGTGTTGTAATTATTTTATGATACTATTTTAGTATATATATATTCCAGTAGTGTGTAGTGTTGTTCTGTAGTGTGATGGCCACGGCAGGTCGTTACACCTTCAAAACAAAATATGGGTTGTATGAGTGGCTTGTAATGCCATTTGGGCTGACTAATGCCCCCAAGCACTTTCATGAGATTAATGAACCATGTTTTGAGAAATTTTTAGGCAAATTTGTTGTGGTATATTTTGATGACATTCTGATTTATAGCACCACTCTTGAATTGCATGTTGGTCATTTGAAAGTTTTTTTGAAAGTGCTTAGGCAAGAACAATTGTATGCTAACCTTGAGAAGTGCACCTTTTGCATCGATCAAATTGTGTTCATAGGTATTGTTGTGAATGCTAAAGGGGTTCAAGTTGACAAAGAAAAAGTGAAGGCCATACAAGAATCGCCTAACCCTAAAAATGTGAGTGAAGTGAGGAGCTTTCATGGCTTGGCTAGTTTTTATAGGAGATTTGTTAAAAAAATTTAGTGCCTTGGTTGCACCTTTGAATGAAATCAATAAAAAGCATGTTAGGTTTAAATGGGAAGAAAAATAAGAAACAGCATTTGTTTCCCTTAAGCATGAATTGACTAATGCCCTCATTCTTGTGTTGCCTAATTTTGCTAAATATTTTGAAATTGATTGTGATGCATCTAATGTGGGTATTGGGGTTGTTCTAATGCAAGAAGACCATCAAATTGCTTATTTTAGTGAGAAGTTAAAAGGGGGTCCCTTAAACTATCCCACTTATGATAAGGAATTATATGCCTTGGTGAGAGCTTTGAAAACTTGGCAGCACTACCTCTTGCCTGAAGAATTTGTATTACATAGTGATCATGAGTCCTTAAAGTACTTAAAGGGCCAAGGAAAGTTAAACAACAAACATGCAAAATGGGTAGAGTTATGTAAAAGCGTACAAGTTGTAAAATCCAAATTAGAAGCAAGTTGTTATTAGTCAAGATCTTACTTTAGATGAGACAACATCTTGGAGCTAGGGGAATAAATCAAACTCAAGCACCAATATTCAACTTGAACTCAAAGGGTTGAACATGTTAAACTAAATACTTCAATTCCTATTATGAAATAGAAAGAGAAAAGACCATAGAGGCTAAGATTTCCATCAAGTAGACTTGTTGATCATATAGTGTTTCTAGATGGTGTCATTTCATCTAATGGTGATCTAATGCATTTATCTTTCATGGCAGATTTAGAACCAATAAGCTAAAAGTAGGCTATTAAACAAAAGACATGGAAAAAGGCTATGAATTAAGAAATTAATGTTATAGAGAGGAATCATATATTGGAGTTTGCAGATCCTCCAATTACAAAGCAACCAATTGATGTGAAGTGGGTGTTTATGCTGAAGTTGAAGCTAGATGGTTCAATTGTAAAGCATAAGGCAAGACTTGTTGCTAGAGGCATTCATTAGAAGGATAGAATGGACTACGCTAAGGTATTTTCTCTAGTTGCCAAAATCGAAACTATTAGGCTAGTAATTGTTATTGCTAGTTTAAGAAGTTGGCCTTTGTTTCAATTAAATATGAAATATGCACTTCTCAATGGTTTATTAAAGGAAGAGGTGTATGTGTTGCAACCATCAAGATTTGAAGTGAAGGGAAGAGAACATGCAGCATAAAAGTTGAGAAAATCCTTGTATAACTTGAAACAAGGCCCTCAAGTTTGGAACAAGAGAATAGATGCTTTCTTACATCAACATGGATTCTCAAGATTTGCAGTGGAATTTGGGATATATGTGATGATGAAGAATAATGTTGATTTGATTCTAGTCTATTTGTATGTAAATGACCTTCTTATTACAAGTAGTAATAGCTTTCAAATTGATGAATTCAAGGAGAGATTGAAGTCAAAATTTAAGATGTCTAATTTGGGTATTCTCAATTACTTCCTTGGTCTAGAAGTTGTTTATACTTGTAGGGGTGTTTTTCTACATGAAAAAAATATATTTAGGAAGTGCTGAAAAGGTTTCAAATCAAGAATCATAATGAAATGGTGACCCTAGTTGAGGCAAGTGTGAAGTTGATAAAAGGAGAAATTGAGAAGTGAGTAGATAAATATGGGTAGGATCATTGAGATTTTTGTGTAATAACATACTTGACATCAATTTTGCAATTGGGTTGGTTAGTAGGTTCACGAGTGATCTAAGAGTCTCATATTGTTGTAACCAAACATATTCTAAGGTACCTAAAGGGAATACAATTGTTCACTCTATTATTTCCTAAGGTAAAAGAGTGGTGTGTAATAGAAATTGAAGCATTTTCATATTCTAATTAGTTAGGAGACAAAGTGGAAAGAAAGAATATGAGGTTACTTAATTTGTTTTATGAATGCACAAATATCTTAGTATTTGAAGAAGCAAAGTGTGGTTGCTCTATCATCTTGTGAGGTAGAGTACATAGTTTCATAGCAGATGCGTCAAATTTTATGGTTAGAATCAATGGCTGAAGAGTTGAAGATTAGAGACAAGAAACCAATACAATTGTTTATTGACAACAAGTCATCTATAAGCTAGACCAAAAATTCAAATGCACATGAAAAGAAGCAAGCTTATAAAAACTAAATTTCATTTTCTAAGACATCAAGTGAGCAAGTGATGGAGTTGGCATATTGTTGTTATGAGCTACATGTTGCATTAGTGTTTACTAAACCACTGAAGTAAGATAAATTCAAGAAATTAAGGGAGATGCTAGATTACTCCACTCTTTTTTATTCATAAAATTTTCACGTATAAATATTTAAAAGTTTATAGCATTTTATGCAGAATATTACTCTTGGTTAGATTACCCAATTCTTTCTAGCAGTAGCTAAGATGCGTATCTAAAAGCTTCCTTGTGTTTATCTATACTGGGTACCAGCAACGTGGACTAATTGTTTCGTAGACGGCCAAATGCTGACTTGTGTAACCAATTTAGTTTAAGCATCACATCGCTGACTTGTGTAACCAATTCAGTTTAAGCATCACATCTACAACTTAAATGACTATTTTCATTACTGTTATCTTCTGCATAATAAAATTTACCATTACAACGTTGATTACTCCACGGAGTTGGAGTCTCATCACGAGTTTAGACATAAGTTAAAAAGAAAAAATATATATACGATAAATTATATGAAAAAGAAATGGAGAGATATTGAATACTATGCGGAGCGTGTGAAAAAAAAAATAGATAAAATCTACTCGTGTTAAACGGTATTTGAAAACTACAATTAAATATATAAAAATTATTACTTAATGTTTATCTTTCTCTATTTTACACTTCGTTACATTATTCAACTTGTAACCAATACTATTAATTTCGGAAAAGCAAAAATTAAAAAAGAAAAGTGAAAAAAAAATCCTTTTATATAGTATAGATTTACATTTCCTAATCAATCACATCATACATGCGATTTGTATGATGATACAATAACCCATAAAAATACGGGTAAAAATATTTTCAATCATCTAATTTGGGAACATCTCTTGAGCTCACCTTTTCGATAGATATCCTTCTTAGACACACTTAAAATTCCAGATTGCTCCTCAACCTTCTTAACAAGAAGTTTCAGTAGAGGAACCTTTGATAGAGTTCTCCGAGAACCTACCATGATCAACTTTCTCTGTAAGCATAAAGCAAAGAAACTAGTTATTTGAGACAACAAAAATCAAAACATCTTTATGAAATATATTCATGTGTATAAAAAAGAATAGATGGTTGTGACAACTGTTAGAGAAATACAACACAGAATAATTATTAAAACTTATGAAGGAAGTGCCTTATTCCTTGCTCTAAGTAGGAATGTTGCCTGCAAGAAAGCTTTCATAATACTAAGATCGAATTTCTTCTTTCATTAAACTATTTATTTTTCGGTTTATGGCTACAGTATATCATTAAACTTTATTTTTTTCTAAATCACTAGTGTTCCGGTATGTCTAAAAGTCTTACATCGCTTAAGAGTCGAGATTAAGGGTAGTTTATAAACACCCTTCCTCTTTAACCCATCGAAGCGCCTTTTAAAGGACAAAACTATAACCCTAATGATAACAGCAGACTTACGGTAAAAATATTTGGCACTAGAAGGAGGGCCTAGGCCACTCTTATCCCTTAACATCGACTAGGGAGCTTGTTCTGGTAATGCCAAAAAGTCTCACATCACTTAGGAATCGAGGCTGAAAATAGTTTATAAACATCCTCCCTCTAGGCCACTCTTGCCCCTTAGTATCGACTAGAGGGCTTGTTCTGGTATGCGTAAAAGTCTCACATCACTTAGGAGTCGAGGTTAACCTACCGAGGCGCCTTTTAAAAGGACAAAATCATGACGGTCCAACGAATTCCAAAGCGAACAATATCTCGATAACCCTAACGATGACAGCAGACTTACACTAAGAAAAAAAGAAATAAAAGTACTCGGATTATGATAACCCAATAACAGTGTTCGGGAGAGATTAAAATCCCCCAGTTCAGTTGTTTTTTTGGGATAAAGCTGTTAGCGAAAAATGTTGCGTTTGGACAACTTAATTTAATAAACAGATTTTTTTTCTTAAAAAGTAAATTATTTTTAAGAAACTGAAAATTTAAAGCTTATGATTATTTTTCAACAGTTTTTTCTTTTAAACTGATTTATTACATAAAAATAATTTTTTACTGTACATATGAAATTAAACATCTTAAAAATTGTTTTTCAACCAACTTACCAAAATAAATTTTCATTTTGATTATACTCGATTAGAATAATAATCTATTATTTAAATAATTAATTATTAAAATAATCTAATTTTTACATCTTTCTCAAAGACATCCTAACTATTTATGAATAAATTCCTCGTTAGTTACACCGAAAGAAAACAATTAATTATTTAGATTTCCCTTAATTACAAACCATGTTTTATCTTGAAAGATCAAGTGTTCCCGAAGAAAATAATGGGGTCGAAGATCTAAAAAATGCTAGTTTTACAAATTCTGAATTAAGGAGTTTGGTTTACAGAAGTTCTCGTCATGACGAGGTATAATGATATTCAATTATATATTAAAGAAAAAAAAATCATTTTCATGGTGCTTAATTACGGTCAAGCAAAGTGAAAATTGTTTGTTTGAGCACAAGAGACGTACCTTAGCACGTGTAAGAGCCACATTTATCCTGTGCCAGTCTCCAAGCAGGGAAGCAGCACAGCTTGTCGGGTTTTCGCTAGACCTTACAAAAGATACCAATATACAGTCCTTATCTCTACCCTGGACAAACAGAAGACCAGTTTATGAGGAATGAGGATCATTATCTATGTGACGACAGACGACTTCATAAAGTTTAACTGAAATGACCTTACAAAAGTTACGCCTTAAATGTTAGTTAAATGTTAAACACTACGCGATTGCATAGGACTGAATTTTTGTAACACGGGCTCACTAGTGCAAAGGCCTAACTGCCTAAGGACTAAGGTAATGCTAGTTTGAGCCTAACCTGGTATTTGTCAATGGTATGTATCTCCAAGGAAGTCATGCAAGCAGCATGCCGGATGAGGTTTGCCTGTAAATTATAGGGAGTAATAACGCCAATGCGTTCTGTTCCGATTCCATTTTTTACCAATTCCTTTGCAACCTGTAATATAAATAAATATTTCAGTTATGGGTGTGAGACAGTGATATGACATGAATCATTAATCAGAAAAGTAAAAAGGACCAAGCCATTCAAACCCGCAAAATTGTACAACTTTGGGGTTTGGATGTCAACCTGTTTCCATTAACAGATGCTCACCAACATATTTACCAACGATGATTTTCGTCCCAAAATATTCATGTGTAATGAAAATTCCGATTAACCAAAATAAAACGGAGTGAAAAAATTTTGGTCAACCAATATAATGTACCATGTGTATTTAACCAACATAGAGTACTGAGAAAGCAATTAAGAAAATTTAACCAAATAAAAAACATAATAAGCCATTGATACTTGAAAAAAGGGACAATAAAGATTTTTTATGTGCTATTATAAGATTACGATTGTATAAAATGAGTTTAATCTTTATTACGTCTCTAGCATAATCATCGAGTTAAATCGTGAGTTGGGTTAATATGCTTAGACAATAATATATTGATTACCATAATATAAAATAAAAGGTTAATATTTTTGTTTTTGTTAATCCAAACCATTAATGCACTTGTAAGGATGGATAATTTTGGAAGAAATTAATCCTTCATAGTACAATCAATTTCCATGGACCAAAAACATCCGAACATAACAAGGCTTGGGCAGCTTCATACGAAAAATGTATCGTCTTGCTTATCAAAAAAAAATGTATAATATTGAAAATGACCTACCTCGGCAATTATGTGAGCTTCAATAGGGTTATTTACAGCCTTCTGATCTCTTGCCTCTAAAGCAGGCAAATTGTCTAACATGGAAAAATAAATATATAAGCAAAATACCATTTTCAATGAACTTTAGGATAAATGATGTAGAGGAAAATGATATTTACAAACCAGTATCAATAAATATCACAGGTCTTCGAGGATTCAAAACCTGCCCATGTTAATACAAAAAAGATATAAGATTTAATTCTACTTAAAAGATAAAACTTTATCGTATCCTAGAGTTAAATATTGTTAACTACGACACTGACAACGTTACCCAAAATAATTATGAACTATGAAGACATCTTAGAATAGACATCTTTACTATTGAGTTTGACTATCCGATAATGGTGACAGCACAGCATAATTTCCCTACCTAGAGTCTATATTGAGAGACTGAGAAACGAAGATTAATGTCAGCAGAAATGAGTTTCCCATAGAGACCTTTAATGCCATCATGGGAAAACATCTGAATATTATTGCTCAATTTTAATTGTACAAGGTGAATTACATTGTATAGACTACGCTAATAACATGCCTAAAATAAAGATACATTGCAAGAAGCATATTGTTCTTAAAAGGAAATAATCTTTCGTAAAGTGGTACTACTGTCTATTATAATAATACTCCAGTGAGATCAAGCTCCTAAAAATAGATAAAACTAAGCCATAAATGAAAAATCCTCCACATAAAAGATAGCGAGAATCCAGATGAAAAAGGCCTTACATCTTCTAGCCAAGGCAAACCACAGCTTAAGCCTGAAAACTCAAGTTTTGCATTAGCTACCTCAAATGAACCACACCTCAATCTGTCACCATATATCAATGCATTTGAAAGGTCCATAATGCCCTGACACATACGATACTGTTTATATTTAAACCAAGTTAGTGAAGCCGATAGACAATGGAGCAAAAAGAACCAAACCAAAGTTTATAATCAAATATCTAGTAGCCATAATATACCTGACTCTGTAAAGCTAAAATAGCCTGTGGATGTGCTTCTGAGAGACTACAGAACAAACTTATCCCCATGCCATTCTCTCGGGCCTCTGCACTCTAGGAATTATCAGATAAAAAACTTCAAATAAAATTACATTGGCGAGTTTTGTACAAAGAAAGAACAAATACTTTAGACGCATACCTGGACAATTGGTGGCAATTGATAATGATCCCCAACAAGTACAAACCTCGAAGCAAGTGTTAGAGGGCCCAAAGAAACCTGCAATGGCAATATTTACAACAAAATTACACACACATGAACAGTCGTTTTCTTTTTCTTAACTTTCCCTATTTCATGCGTTGTTTCCTATTAAACATATGGAGTTTTAGGTATATAGGAAGGAAAAGAGATAAAAGAAAATGAAACACAAATTAATTTATTTTTTCGTGCGTACAATGGTGGCGATTAGAATAGAAGCTATCCAAAAACCTCGTCATTAGGCCAACCCTAATGATTTTTAAATATTTGAGGTGTATTATATTAACCATTATTTATACTAATCGTAATCCTAATTAGTTAGAGGATCAATGTTAATTTGTTACTGAGAATACAGAGACAAGGCCTTGCATCAAAGATGTGTAACAACATTCTTAGGTTAATTGAGTTCTTGTTAGAATAGAACTGTTTTTCTGTGTTATTTTCTGTACAATTCAAGTATGCTAGTTTCAACCCGGCTCTAACATTTATCAATAGTTAGCTGATAGTTTCTATCATTGGACAGCTGGGTGTTTAGTTAGATACGGACCTTTACACTTCTGTGCACAGTATAAATACTGTAGCTCAAAGCCTCACTCTTCCTACTACTGAATTCACATCCCATGCAGAAATCTGAAATTGATCAATGTTAACCATTCAACTGAGGTTTGATGCATGATTTTGGGGTCTGTGAAAGATCCAACAAAATTTCAGATTGATATTGTTAATTGACTTTATCTACTACTACTATTAAAATGTCATTTGCAATCTGAAACTTGAGAAACCCCATTCCTATGCTTCCTAACTTGATTGAACCACAACAAAGACCCTTGAGAAATGTCATTGGTTGTTCCCTGTACTGCAAGTAACTTGAATCTGATTTGTTTTGCGCTGAGCTTGGCACACACCATCAAAATTTGTTGCCACCGCCAAGGATCATTCAGTGTTATATAATCATATTAGGAGTGATCAAACTGTGATGTCTAGAGGTGAGATTAAGTGTTCAAAGAAAAATCAACATTTTGAGCAAGATAATCCTTTTAAGATCTTCCATTTGATTTTCCAAATTCAAACATTTGGCTGGGCTTCTTAGATATGAGACACCAAAACTCTGACCAAAATTCTGATGCAACTGTTATCCAGAGAAGGAAAAAATAAAATAAAATTGTACAACAGTAAACAAAGGGGCAGAGAAACTGTTATTACATAATGGTTTACTGAAAATTTGAGTGTCATCGTTCTCCACAACAATGAGTTTCCAAAATATTCATCTACATTGCTATTTCTAGCAAAATACCTAACTGACCCATGTAACTTCCTAACTAATTTGACTTGTGAGTCAGCCAGATTTGTTATTGTTAGTTAATCCTATTAGCAATTAGTTATGACGGTTAACATTGGTAAGTTAGATAGACGGACTAAGACATGATGTTGCCTATAAATAAATAGGAAGGGGGAGAGACAGGTCAGTTTTGTTATTTGTGAAACAATTGGGGACTTTGGACATCAAGAGGTTCATATCCTCCAAATTCTTCAAGTTAATCATTGTATTGAGAGGAGAAACCCCTTATTCTTCTTAATAAGATACTTGGTTTCTATAAGTTATCCTCCTATTATATCTAGAATACATTTTAGTAATAGATCCTTATTCCTAACAAATTCATGAGCTTTTTTGTTATTGATATCAGATTACATAAATAGCAGAGTGAATTCTGACATAGTGTAGCAAGATTTTCGGCTCTGGTTTTCAGTTACATATATATCATGTAAATAATGAGCACGAATAATAAGTATCACATATGCCCTATAAAATATACAAAACAAATAAATAAGAAGCATACTGGTAGAGTTGTCTGTCCAGCTTCATCCATAATGCATACATCAAACCTCACATTGGCAAGCAAGGGACTACAAATGCCCAGACAAGTAACTGCAACAACTTTGACTTGTTCCAACCTTATTTTGATATCTTCAACACCTTGTACATTCGTTGCTGAAATAGAAACTACAGTCAAGATTTATAACTTAAGAAAGGAAGCGAACAAGAAATAAATTGGCAAACCTGAAAGGCAGTGTCCTCTGACCTCTTCATTCACTACTTCATGCCTTCCAATTCGTATAAAATCAATCCCCTACATTCATTTACATGCAATATGACATCTAAAAGATAGAAACTGAAGAATATATGGAAACACAATATATCATAGTCATTTAGATAACAGAGTAGCATGTTGAATATTAGACTTAGATGAATAAGAATGCTTGAGGAGAATGATTTTTCAGCCCTTTATTCATAATGATCATAAAAAAACTACAATGATAATACGATACCTTGATTTTAAAGATTATACAACCAGGCATTAAATATGACAAAATAGAAACTTATCCAGAATAATAAAATCAGAAATATGAAATAATAATAATGGAAGATCAGATGGAAATCAGGATAAATCAATATCAAATCTTACCACAGCGGTATAGATATTTTAGAACACCATGCAGAACATCAATCAAATCAGTTTAGTCCAAACCTCCATGTTAAGGGTGAAAAATAATAAAATAAAAGGTGCAAATAAAAGTATAAAACACAAGTTGTGAATCACTAAGGGATAAGCCTTCACAGGTCGCCAAAGTATAAGCTAGAAAACATGGTGGTTGGTGAAACTGACATAAAACACGAGGACATGTAAAAGACACAGGTAAAGACACAATGGAAGATGCATGGTAGATACACAGTAGAAGTATTAGGTGAAGGAAGGGACATAGCAGACATGTAGGCGACAGAGGACAATTTAAATAAATAATTCATATTTTTCCAATCAAACATATTTTCTTCAGTCCTATGGACTATGGAGAATAGTACACAGATGACAGTTCAACTAAATGGCATCCATTCTCTTCCAGCAACATGTAGTCATATTTAATGATATTATATAATTCATGAAGACATTATAATATGTTGACATGGATACCTGTGCTTTTAATTTGATGAGCAAATTATCAACAGCAGAATTTGTATAGGCAGTTAGCAAAATGGATGCCCCTCTAATCAACAAGGCTTTCACAGCATGGACCAATGTGGATGTTTTCCCTGTTCCAGGCATCCCTAATATAAGTGCATAATCTTTTGCCGTAAGTATCTGAAACTCAGTAACGAAGCCAGGTCAAAAAAAAAATCATTTTAATGATAAACTAAAGCAACTTGCATGTTAAATTTTGAAAAGAAATTCAAGAAATTACAGCTTCATGCAAACCTTAACAATTGCTCTACGTTGGTCATCATTCAAACTCTTCTCTGACCAAACATAGGATATTGCTGGATCCTGGCTAAGTACAGATCCAGTGTCAAATCTAGGAGCCTACAGCCAGAAGACATCGTAACAGAAAAAAGGGTTAAGTACTTAGTCATAGTCATGCAGAAATGTAACAAGTAATTCATACAAAAATGTAGCAAGTAATTCACCTCAAGGTCAACAATCATCCTCCGCAGATGAGCACTTCGATCATTTTGTAGAAAAAGTTGTACAAGATTAAACCTACAGAAAAATGCCAAAAATGATCATAAGATAATTACATAACTTTTAATGCCAGCATACACATTGCAAATTAAATTTTGAATGAAGCAGTAGTCAGAGAAGCACCTCATAATTGCAAATGAAGTCACAGCTTCGTCCTTTACAATTCTCCAAACCTGCTGAATAAGATCATGTGCAGTGGAAGAACTCCCAGGAATTCGTAAACGCTTAGAAAAGGAAACCTAAAAGAATTTCAGGCAACAGCAAGACATAACTGTCAACCAAGGATTATGATGGTAATGGCTATTAGGCTATATATGCACTTGTAAGTTGTGAATATGAACATACGAAGTAAAAAATGCTACCTTTAGGTACAAAATGGTAAAGTTCAGAATCAAGCTGAAAATTAGCAATTATTATAATACTCACAGATACATGGATCGGACTAATATCAGATATCACCCCTTTTGCAATCATTTGATGGGTAGATTGATTACTCAGTATCTAAAAAGTGAACAGAAAAGTAGGTTATTAATTGAAAGAGAATAGTATACATTAATGGTAAAATAAAATGCATTAAGGGAGTGTAATTTAGTTGGCTAAGTATGAGTTATTGTAAACCTCCTAATATCGAATTTGATTCCTATGGATAAAAACAAAATAAGATGCGGACAACCCTTTTACAAAAGGCAGTTATTAATATCCGATTTGGTAACTACGATTGATAGTATATGGGCTTACATAGATGTACTTTGTAGGCTATGATACGATTAACCCATTAAAGGATAACGCTTCTTTCTCTGACTCTCTCTCCATACGGAAAACTAGGATCGTAGTACAATCCAGTACATGATACAACGAACATAATTACCTCAGGCACACTGACCATGCCCTTAATATCCTTAATGTCTACCATGTTGCCAATAGCAACTAGTTTAAATGTAGTTTGTGATTCACTTTTTCCTATATTTCTGTACACATGCCTTTTTGCTCCAATTCTAAATTCTATTATATTTACTGAATTTTGGATTCTAATTATATAATGTATATCTACAAACTATTACAAACTTATTTTGGACAGGCCCTTGCTTTTCTTCCTATTTCCTAAACAGACTTGGGAACTCCATTGTGTGCATTCTTCACAACAACAGTTATTTGAGGGGTTGTCCATTCCACACCACATTCCAAAATTCACCTTGATTTTGTCAAACATGTAGATATCACAACTAAATTCACTTATTTCAAAAATAGTAAAAGGAAGTTATTCGTACCACATGATCCCCACTTCGAAGTGTGAAATCTAAATCATTTTTCAACGAGGCACTAGAAGAGGCATCAGATATTTCAGAAAGGCTGGAGGTAGAATCTTGTTGTACAAAACGATAAATGAAATGATTATCTTTAAGGGATTTCTGAGGAGGTATTCTTTGTGAAGCATCAAGAACAATAGAAGAAAGGCCACCACCGTTTGGACTTTTTAAACTTTGTGATTGCCACACCTCTTTCTTTAAAAGCTGAAACAGTAAAGGGAGAGAGAAATGAAAGAAGAAAAAAAAGGAAGACCTAATAAACCATGACAAATTAATTAAAAATAAATCTCGAGGGAAAAACTAAAACACATAGACTTTGAAAATTGACCTCAGTTTCTTTAGCTTCTAAGTCAATCAAACGATCCCAATGGCTGAGGAACTTAGAATGCGAAGATGTCATGTGGTTGGTAAGAGAATCAAAAACTTCTCCCAATCCACTGCTCCCAGTGCTTCCACCATGTGCCTAAAGCATTTTACAATAAAGTGCAACAAGAAAATTAATAGGCATATTACCAAGAATAGATTCTTAGTCAAATTAAGCAATAACATTATGATTAACTTCATATAAAATATTGTTTCTAATTTTTTTTAATATCCTTATTACTGGTACATATCATATTATATAACATAGCGCACCAACAAATCTGTGACATCTATGGACATGACACTAGATTACACAAACATTTTCAGTAATAAGATATGGAAGTATTAGAGAATAGTATTAAAGATCAACTCTCAAGCTTTGTAAATTGATATACTCTTTTCTTTTCTGTTTGGTCCTTAGTTAGTAGTTTGGGCCCAGCTTATCAGCTGGCCCATAGTCCGTGTTAAGTCATTTACAAATAGGTGACTTTTATCTTTTGTAACCAACTTTCAACAAAATCAATAATACAGTTCATTTTCAGTTAGATAGATCACATCTCTGATTTCTATCAGGCAGGAAAACAATGCAGCAATAGACATGAGTAAGTTAATGGTTGAATTGCTTAAACTAATAGTAATTTTAAAGCATGGTTTCTTAATTATAGAAGTAAAAATGAACCTACCAAAATGTATATTTTTTATTTATATATAGAAATCTGACTATGAATTTATTTTTCTTGGTAACCTATGGCCCTGTGCATTAAGAATATAAGTAATTCATGATTTTAAACCTTAAAATTATCAGCAGATACAACGATACCAGGGTTGATGTCAAAAGCGGCTATAACTGTTAGCAAAAAATATCTACACGTCTCAAGGTATAGAAGTACCTTATGATAAATGCTACACACATTAAGATGGCGACAACCTCTGCAAATGCTAGGACTCTACAATCAAAAAATGAAGACTTGTTATGGCAATCCAATAAAGTTGTAAAAAATACATTATGTAAATTATTGAAAAGATCATACCTGTAACATTGGAGGCAGTTGTTGCAAAATTAATGCCTTAAGAATATCACTTGCTAGTTCATTCCGTCGCATTAATAGCCCAGTTAAGTCAGATCTTTGAACCTCAATGCCCTTTGTGCATAAAAAACTAATACAATGTTACCTCTTCTCAACTGAAAGAAAACAACTTTAAGCAACAATTCACAAATCTTACCTGTGTCAGATCAGATTGGAGATAATATAGAAGACCAGAATCAACAGTTTTCTGGTACCTATTAACATAATAGAACAAAATAAACAAAAGTTTAAAAAAAAAATAAAAAGATCTATACACTGTTAGAAATGAATAGTTTGCACCTTTCAGACATCAGGAGAGTGTACAACATTACTTGGGCTCTGTGTTCTACTGATGACTGCAGTGCAGATATGAAATGCAAGAGTTGTAAAAGAAAAATATCACAAATAATAAGTATTACTATAAGGATTTAATGGTGATACATTATCAATGCAAAATTTTTTATTTACTCAACCAATTAGAAACCATAATTTGTATGACTTTTAAGGTAATTATTATAAAAGTTAATAAACTTATCATCTATGTGAATTGTGATTGAATGACAGATCAACAGTGTAAAACTATTTCACACTATCAGTATATTAGCATTAAACTCTTAATATAATCCTTCTAGTGCTTTAAATGTGTTCATCAGAGTATCTATCTGATCTCATTTTTTTTACGGTTGTATAACAGTGAAGGGACCGGAACTTGCCTGGTTGTTAGGTGTTTTTCCGGTTTTGAACTCTATTGGCATGATCTTTTCCTGCGGTTCATCTGTTTGTGATTGAATTTTCACTCTGACCGAAGCATCAATCATCCCTTTCAAACCATATTTTGGAGTCCATGCCATCTCTTCAATATCAATTACCTACAACATTAATCACAAATCACAAATGCATCTAAAAATATATATAACGTTCATTTCGTGGGGGAAATGTACAATATAGAGGACAATCTAACAAGCATTTAGGAGCACATCTTGGATGATACATAAGAGAGATAAAAGAAAATACAAGCATAGACCAGAGATAAAATTATACTAAATATAAGAGAGAAGGGGCACAACAATAACCAATTGAAAAGGCATATGCATGTCTGTGGACAAATATTCAATTAAAAGCTAAAAGTAATCCCCCAAAACTTGTTTAGTTATTATAATTGTGCATCATGTACAAGATGCATATCTATTTCACCACAATAGTATGTAAAAGATCAGTTAGTTAAACAGAAGAGAATAGATTAGAGCTTGCCTCAGATATGCTAACATTCTTTGGCCCATCATCAAATCCAAAATTGACACTGGGATCTTCTCTTTCCTGTCAAAACACCAAGTCATCGGTCACAATATTTAATAAATGAAAAAACTGTGTAGATTCAATATTGTTGAAAAGTCCCACATTGCCTTGCTCAATTACTAAGACATAATTACATGTATTATGGCACTGCCATGGAGATGTGGGGTACAGTGAGGGGGGCTACTCCAACATAGACAACACATCTGCCATTCATGATCTTCAACAAAAAGAGTCCTCAGTCACAAAGTATTTCAACACACTCAATATTGGCAACAGTTAGACATATACGTAGATGTGGATTGGTGATGTACCGAGGACAAGGAGAAGTACAAAGTCCTAGTGGAAAAGGATAGGATCTACACATTCCTATTGGGGCTAAACCAGGACCTTGATGAAGTCCGTGGAATGATCCTTGGAACCAAACCACTCCCAAATATCTGAGAAGTATTCTCAAAGGTAAGATGGAAGAGAGTAGGAGGAAGCTCATGCTAGGAAAGTCCATTCCAACCCCATCTAATGAGAGTTCAACAATGACAGCAACAGGAAACCCCTCTTGACCATCACAAAGGAAGAACCACCCCTAGTGTGACCATTGCAAGAAACCAAGCCACAAAAAGGGCACATGTTGGACCATACACGACAAGCCTACAAATGCAAAACAGTTCAAAAATAAAGAAAGTAGAGATAGCACAGCATCACACCACTAGGAAATCAAGGTAAACTCTAATCCATCTCCATTCAGCAAAGAACAAATGGAAGCCCTCCAAAAAATCCTACAACAAACCATGATTGATGTAGGAAAAAGCGGTATAGCAACTATGGCACAAAAAGGCAATTTCTTACATGCTCTAAACACTAGTAAGAAAAAACCAAAAACATGGATCATTGACTTAGGAGCCCCATATTACATGACCAATGACATAACTATGTTTGATAGCTATTTTTTATGTCAAAACAACTTTACAGTTCAGATAGCTGATGGTACACTCACTAAGGTCATGGGTAAAGGTTCAGTCATATTCTCACAAAATATCACATTGTATTAATTCCTTTTTGTGCCTAAACTTGAGTGTAACTTGCTATCCATTAGCAAATTCACAGAGATTTGAAATGTGTCTCTATTTTTCCCTAAACAATGTGAATTTCAGATTTTGGAATCGAGGAAGACGATTGGCAATGTTAAAGAGTGTGTTGGACTCTACCTCCTTCAAGTTGAAGAGTCAAAGAAGGGACTCAAGGCAAATTTGTGTGCAATAGTTGGCCCAAGTAGTGAAAATTCTATAATTTTGTGGCACTATCGATTAGGCCACCCTAATTTTATGTATCTGGAAAAATTATTCCTTTCATTATTAAATAAAAATTCAAAGCATTTTCAATGTGAAATTTGTCAACTGTCCATACATACTCACAACTCTTATCCAAATTCAACCTTACAAGCCCTCCAAATCATTCTACTTAATACACAATGACATATGGCATCCATCTCGGGTCAACCACATTAGTGGCTCAAGATGGTTTGTCACATTCATTGATGATCACACTCACCGTTACATGGGCATTTCTAATGAAAGAAAAGTCAAAAGTCAGAAGAATATTTGAAACATTTTAAAACATTGTCCAATCATAATTTCATAGCAAAATTAAGGTGTTCATAACTGATAATGGTCGAGAATACTACCACTCTACACTAAATTCCTACCTTCAAGAACATGGCATCATCCACCAAAAATTCATGTATGGATACTCCCTAGTAAAGCACGATCGCCAAGAGAAAGAATAGGCACCTGTTAGAAGTGACCAGATCACTCATGTTATCTACAAATATATCCCAACAATATTAGGAAGAAGTTGTCCTCTTTGCAATCTACCTTATAAACAAAATGTCTTCTTGCATCCTTAAGTTTGAGATCCCCCACTCAATACTCCAAACCTTTTTCCCAACAACAAAATCCTCACCTCCATTCCTTTTAAAATATTTTGATGTTCAACTTTTGTCCAAAACCTAAACCCTCACCATAGCAAACTTGACCCAGAATCCATCACGTTTATCTTTCTCGAATACTCTCCTCAACAAATGGGGTATAAATGTTACTTTCCTACAATCAAAAAATTTTACCACACTATGGATGTAACTTTCCTTGAGAATCAGCCTTATTACCTCAAAGTTGGTATTCAAGGGGAGCAAACCTATCAAGCTGGTGTGGCAACAGAATCCCAACATTTGGGATTTTTTGATCAAAATGGAGAACCGGCCGAGATTGTACTTGAACTAGAGGAAACTGCAGCAGGAACTGAATAGGAAAATTAAGCAGAAACTACACTTGAACAAAAGGAAATTGCAACAGCAATTGAACATGATAATGGAGCACAAACAACACTAGCAGAGGCAAGGGAAAATACTCCATCTCAGCAAAATCAAGGTCCTGTTGCACAAGGAGACAACTGGAAGACATACTTCAGAAAGAGGAGGAAGGGAGTAGAATTAAGCATAGCTCCAAGGCAAAGCCATGAGTCCAACCGGTCTCCAGAATATGAAGTTCCTCCAAGTAATGTTTGCTCCTAACCTTGAACCTACTAATAACATTGATATTCCCATTGCCTTGAGGAAAGGGGTGAGAACTTGCACTCAACACCCCATTGAGAAGTATGTGTCCTGTGGGAAATTGTCACAAGAGTACAAGACTTTTGTAGCAGCCCTTGACAACATCCACATTCCAAAGAATGTTCAAGAGGCCCTCCATCAACTCAAATGGGCTAAAGTTGCAACAAAAGATTTTCAAGCCATGGTTAAAAATGGCACATAGGAGATCACTACCCTATAGGAAGGGGAGAGGCCCACTGGATGTAAATGGATATTCTCCATAAAACACAATGTTGACAGTAGCATAAATTAGTACAAAGCTTGATTAGTGGTAAAGGGATTTACATCAGTGGACTACGAAGAAACATTTGCACCAATGGCCAAACTAAATTTAGTCTGAGTAATTGCATCATTAGTTGTGAATTTAGATTGCCCACTGCACCAATTATACATAAAGGATGTTTTTCTAAATGGTGAATTAGAAGAGGAAGTCTACATGCAAATTCTTCCAGGACTTGAATCATCCAATACCACAAACATGGTGTGCAATCTCCGAAAGCATGGTAGTTTTATTCATTGTTTATGTTGATTATATTGTTATCACAAGAGATAATTATGATGAAATCAAACACCTGAAGGAGCTCTTGGCTAACGAATTTGAAGTGAAAGACTTGGGACAACTGAATTATTTTCTAGGGATGGAAGTTGCTCGAACAAAAAATGGCATTTATGTGTCTCAAAGGAAGTATACTTTGGCCCTCCTTCAACCAACTAATACACCCATTTAACTAGTGAAAAGAAGTCTGGGGAAGAAAGTCCACCAGCTGACAAAAATAGGTATCAAAGCCTAGTTGGAAGATTAATCTACCTAACTCACACTAGGCCTAACATCGAATTTGCTGTAAGTTTGGCCAGTTGCCATGTCTAATCCTACAAAAGTCCATATGAAAACTATGAATCAAATCCTTCAATACCTCAAGGATACACTAGGTAGGGAACTCTACTTTAAGAAAAACGCAAATAGAGGTATTTGAAGTGTACATAGACTCAGATAGGGCAGGATGTACCTCAGACAGAAAATCTACTATAGGCTATTCTTCCTTTGTTTGGAGAAATTTGGTAACTTGGAAAAGCAAGAAACAATCCATAGTGGCAAGAACCAGTGCAAAAGTTGAATTCAAGGCCATGGCACAAGGCATTTGTGAAGGGATTTGTCTTAAATGGATGCTAGAAAATTAGAGTTCCTATAAATTATACAATGAGGATCTTGTGTGACAACAAAGCAGCCATAAGTATTGCAAAGAACCCAGTCCACCATGATAGGACAAAACATATGAAGATTGATTGGCACTTCATTAAGGAAAAATTGATCACAAAATGATAAATGTGGATCATGTATCATCATGTAGACAAACGGCAAACATTTTAACTAAGGCACCGTCAAAGAACACATGAAAGCATTAAATCCAAAACTAATTGTGATTAGAATCTATAGTATTCCTAGTTTCCGTTATTATTTAGTCATAGCATTTATAGGGATAATTATTCCCCTGATTCTTAGGCTAGGTTAATGTATATATTATTTTCCTTTTCCTATTTATTCCCCCTATTGTATCAAGTATTTTGAAGAGAAATATAATCCATATTTCCGCAAGATTTATTATAGAAAAGGATAGATTTTCATAGAAAATACGACTTGCAAGTTTCTGAATATACATATTCTAGAAAAGGTACAAAGACATCACATGGCCATCAAGTATAAGTATCATTAACATTTGGCAACAGAAAAGGAATCACTTCTATTACAAAGAACAATAATAAATAATGTTTAAGAAAAAAGGCATAAATAATTTTGATGCACCTCAATATTTTTGAACTGCATGATCCAACTTAATATTCTAGGGATAGCATCACTCAAGGTTTTGCGAACATCATTTTCATTTACTGCAATGAACATATGCAAAAGAAATGATCCAGAGTCAATAATAAGCACATTATATCGGAGAAAAACATCCATTGATCAAATTCCAGACTTTAAATGACATGCGTGTACATATTAATTTAAGTAATATCACACATATAAAGACACAATACCACACCTCCACATGCATACAAACTTTCAACGTTTCTCTTTAACACCACTTCGGCATAATCTTCCATGAAATTTACCGTAGGATTGTCATTTGTAAGCCCAGCCTGAACCAACAAACCAAACCACGCAATAAAATTGAAGAATAAAAAAATTTTAAAAAATAAGAATCTTAAAAGTCTGATTCATCAGAATGAGAAAATAAATGTATTATATACTGTCTCATGGGGTACAAGATGAATTTTAGAAACCTGAAAAATTTGGTGCAGCATGGTTCCCGTTAATGCCGCAATTGAGTAATCATTGTATTTTAGCCTCTCATCTAAGACAGTTCTCCTTGGGCAACTAAAACTGCCAGCAACCTGGAATAAACCTTTAAATTAGACATAAACAGGCAGACATTAATATATATCATAGAAAACATTGAACTGCAAATAAGGGCATTCACCAAACGATCAAGCCTGAAAAGAGTCTAGTTCCTTACATTTCAGAGCCATGAATGGCAAAAAAGCATCGAGTTTCTCAAGTTTAACTAGAAAATAAACTGATCAAATTTTATAAGACTAAACAAATGGCCCCTGACATATCTGCTTTAACCACCAATTTCAAGGCATTGATATGCGTAGAAAAATAATATTTATTAAAACAACATTTTGCAGGCATGCAGGCTAAATGTAAACATTTTTGTCACAACTCCCTTTTAGCTATGACTACCTTCAATATTATTTATTAAATAACATCACATTATTTTATGGGTCCTTTCAATGCCTAAGTTATTAAAAGACAAGCATAGAGAGACTACAAAATGGAAAATGTGGTAACAATACAATATACATTCAACATTATCTGTGAATGTCTGGGAAAACTCAAACAAGTGCCGTAAACCACAGTAACCATGCTCCCCAGAAAGTAGAAACAAATAAACCTTTTAACATTGCAACAGGCAAAGTAAACAATCACAGTCATAAAAACCAGTGGGCTATTATTAAACATAAAGTTCATCACAATTCTAAGGTCCACACTCCACGGTAATCAGTAATATTGGATTACTAGTGTGTACAAATCACTTTCATAAATAAAATTTTGATAAATCACCTATATTATGTTTCCCATAGAAAATTAAGGTACAAGGCTGAAGTCGTAAATGGAAATATGAACTATTGTTGAGAGAGGAAAAAGATAACTACCCGTGTTCCAGACACTAGAATATCTGGCTGTACAATCAAAAAGTTATTATCATGACCAATATCACAATTTCCCCCTTCATCGAATTGACCAATTATGTGCACAGTATCTCCAGGTGCAATTACACTATAAGACCTGGGATGATTTAGAAAAGGGATTAGAAATGCTAGAAATATTATAATTAGAAAAAAGAGAATATCGACACGAAGGACAATACAAAACTGAGAACACAATGGATACTACGTAAAGTAAATAAATGTAGAGAAAGGATCAATAGAGAAAATGAATTACTTTGAATTGGAGTCAAGCAAGTGTTTAACACCTTATATATGTGTTTTTTATAATAAAAGGAGAATGAATGCACCCATAATATAAGTGCATGTTTGATTCAACTTATTTTGAAAGAATAATCACTTATTATTCTCAGCAACATGAGAAAGCTTTTTGGGTCAAAAAAAAAGTGATTATTTCCCCCAAACAATTTATATCAAACATGCACTAACTAGCATAACTATAAATAATAAATAACAGAACAATAACTGAGACAACTATTCCATTACAACAATAACATAAAATGTTTTATTATACAATGTATATAGGATTGAAAGGCCAGATAGGCACAACAATATAAGCCTGAGTACACTAAAGCACACCAGCTTACCACTCATCCTGTAAGTTTACAGCCCTCTCTTCCCCAGTTTGTTCGTTTAGCAAACGAAGCACCTAGAAAGCATTAGATCAACTATATCATTTTTTCAGATCCTTAGAAGCGAAACGAAATTGTAGTAATGAGCCTTACAAGACCTTGTATGAGCATTGAGCACCAAATGAATCAGCAGACCTATGTTTTTCAGATACCTAAATTAGAAAGTAAATAATAATAATAAGCCTATGAGAATTCATTTATTGTGAACAAAAGAACCATTAAAACACAACTTGGTTCCAAAATCATACCTCCAACACCAAATAATTAGAATTGGACGAGACATCAAAGACCTCTTTAGGTATATGTGATGTGGTCCTTTCTACTGCAGGGTTGACTCTGACAGGGAGCTCATTTGCAATTTGATCTTGAGGTTTGAAGGAATAAGTGTTGTTATTAGAAACTGAATCATCATCATCACCAATGGCATCTTCAACTTGATCTAACAGTTCAAGCAACGCCTATATATATAAATATTCGTATAAATAAGTAGCTTCTGAAATACTGAAGTCTAAGCATTTCATAGAATGACAAGTAATAGGTCACAATTCTCCTTTATAAAACACACATAAAGTGTGACAATGGTTCAGACTTCAGAGGGATCATTTTCATAGCAGTAAGGAAAAACAGATTTTATTAAACTAGTTTTCATTGACTACCCAGACCCCACTAGGTGGGAGCCTCGTGCACTGGGCCGCCCTTTTTAGTTTTCATTGACTAGTGATAAAATATAATTCAGCTAAAGTAATTGATTCTGGCTTTTCCATACTTTCATTTCAGGTTCCAGTTTTTCCTCTCTAACTCCAAGCATGGTCCTAATCATGCCTAATGGTTTGGGATACCATCCTTAAGAATTATGTTTCAGCCTTGGTAAAACTCAAATCGTGTTCATTTTCACTCCAAAGTTAAATCATTTCCTTCTCCTTCTCAATCCAAAAGTTTCTTCCATATCACATTTAATCCTCCAAAAGAAACATGACTCAGAACATAAGTACATAACCTAACCTTCTTGTTCTGTCTTAAAAAAAGCTGGTCACCCGGTCCGCTACGTTCAACATCCTTGGCAAGCTGCACCTAAAAGTAACAACAAAGAAGAAACTCAAACTAGGCATTCTTTTAATCCATAAGAATTACAATAAAAGCAACAGGGTTTGAAGCCATGAGCCAATCAAGGAAAAGAAATCACCTTGTCAGGGCGACAAGACAAGGACGGCGGAGTTCTGAAGGGACTCTGTCCACTCACATCATCGGGGGCTGGCTTTCTCCTTTTGAAGCTCAATGGCACCTTGGGAATGGGCGAAGTAACCCTATTGAGACAAGTCTGCACCACACCACACCACAACCACTCAATCACTAAGCTATTCACTGATAAATACGAAACTGAAATTAAGGAAAGAACAGAAGAGTTGCCTCCTTGTCGGTGCGAATTGGGGAAAATTTGAATTTGGAAGAGCCCGCCGCCAAGGCTTGAATGACTTCCGGCGTGTGCTTCGACACCGCTTGGAGCCTCTCGTTGACGGGAGATATCTTCCACGTGACCTCGTCGGCGCCGTCGTCCTGGCTCTGCCGCACCAACTGAAAGCATTTGCTTGTTCAGAGAAAGAAGCGGAAAAAAAGAGAAAAGAGGGATTTGAATTGCGTTACCATTCCAGGTGAGAATTTGAAGCGCGTCTGCGGAGACACGTCGTTGGGTTCTGCTTCTGCATTGCTGGTGGCGGTGGTGGCGGTGGCGGTGGCGGCGGTGGGTGGTGGCTGCGGCTGGGACTGCGAGTGCTTCTGAGAAGCGCGATCGAAGAAGTGCTGAATGCCGAACTTGGAAGGCTGTAGATTGGGCTTCTTCTTCCTGGGAGGCATTGGTGATTGGAGTGGGAAGTGAAGGTAGGGTTTGTTTCTTCGTGTGCCCGCGAAAAGACACATTTTAATATCTTTGCTTTTTCCCGCCTCAACACAACATACACACGTGCCTCATTGCACGTGGGCTTCTTTCTCTCACATTTTTCCTATGGGATTCTCTTTTACTTTTAACTAATTAGCTAATAACTAATGTAATGTAATGAAAGCAAGTTTTTCTCACGGCTTTTTGGATTATAATTTATAATTTTTTTATGTTGGTTTAACTTTTTAATATTTATTATTTTATGTTTTTATAAATGTATGCATATAAATAGTTAATTTCAAATGAAATAATTTTGAATATTTTTTATGAGGTAGAAGGTTGGCACATTTATTATCATCACAGGTTGGTCCATCTTATCAATGTGTTATGTGCTTCTTATGTTTCTTTGTACACTTTGTGTGATTTGTTGCTTTGTTTGTTTACTTCTTGTGTGTGTAAGAACCAGTATAAGGTCAATAAAGTGTGAACTAGTATAAGGCCGACAAAGTGTGTAAGTGAGTAACAATCATCACCTTATAAGTCAATTTTGTAAAGTTGAACTAGGTTTTTATCTCACTTTCTTGAGATGGTATTAGAGTCTATCCTAACAACTATTGTTCAGCTTATTAGGTCACCCGTTATCAGACCATTATCAAACTACCCATAGATGTTCAATCTTGCAAACTACACGTTCAAGATGTTCAATTTTCAGTGTGAGAGTGTGTTGGAGATTCAACATCGACCGAAAATAAGGCCACAATATTGTAAATAAGTAGAGAATAATCATCAACTTACAAACTAATTTTGTAAGGTTGAGTTAGCCTCCAAACCACTTTCTTAAGATGGTATTAAAGTTTATCCTAACGATTGCTAGTGGGCTTATCAAGCCACTTGTTATTGAGTCGTTATCAAATCACCCATGAATGTCTAGTCCTGCAAACATTACGCTTGAGATGTCCATTCGTCGACGTGAGGGGGTGTGTTAGAGATCTCACATCGATGAGTGATATGGTCAAATTAATGCATATAAATAGGGATCGATCCTTACTTTACAAATTGATTTTGTAAGGTTGAATTAGGTTTTTAACTCACTTTTTAAGATGTATTATTGCTGAGTTTAGGGTTTGTTGGAAAGAGGTATTCTCCTAAGTTATAATTTAATCTTTAGAGACGTCTTACATGTGCCCAAATTATTTGCCAAACTATTTTTATTCATAAACTTACAATTTACAATGTTTAGTGACATTCTATCTTATATTTAGCAAATTTTAGGATCAAGGAATAGGGGAGATGATTGGATTTGCTAAGGTAGGGAATATGAATGGACTTGCTAAGATTTATTATTAATGATTGTGCTTGGGTATCATAGGTGTATCTCTTGAAACAAAAAAAAGTGAAGTGAGTGAGATATTTAAAAAAAAAATCAGATGATAAGTAACCAATTTGGAACAACTGTTAAACGATTTCATTCTGAAAATGTCAAAGATTATTTTGATCAAACACTATCCTTCTTCAATATACATGAAATTATTCATCAATCATCTTGTGTACACACCCCACAACAAAATAGGGTGGATGAATGTAAATTTGGGCATCTTCTAGTTGTTACCCATGCATCTTTATTCAATACAAATGTCCCAAAATAGTGTTGTGGGGAAGTCATTCTAACTACTACCTACTAGATTAATTGTTTGCCCTCTTGAACTTTAAAAAATAGGAGCCATATTTATTGTTCTCTAATTTCTTCTACCTTGAAACTTTCTTATTGCAAAAATGAACATTATATTATTATTGTTATCTTTGGTAGCTAACTATGGATGGAGTTTGCAACAATTTTATGTCAATAATGTTTTTCTACATGGAAATCTAAAAAAAATTTACATGGAAGTCACTTGGGTTGAACTTTGAAAAAGGCGAGGTTTGTAAGTTAAAGAAGGCCCTTTATGATTTGAAATAATCCCCTAGGACCTAGTTTGGCAAAATTGCTACAATGATGAAGACAATTAAGTATAAAAATAAGGTCAAAGAGATCACACTTTATTCATTAAGCATTAAACTTGGTGTGAGTTATTTCAATGATTGTTTATGTGGATGATATAACTGTAACACATAATGATCAAGAAGAAATGGGGTTGAAAAATGTCTATTAAGAGAGTTTGAGATTAAACAACTAGGCAAATTGAAATACTTTCTTGGCCTTGTGGTGACACATTATCATCACGGTATCTATCTCAAGAAATATGTGTTGGATTTATTATATGAAAATTGGTAAATTGAGATGCAAACTAGTAGAAAGTCCTGTTAAGAAGAATCCTAACAAAAATTGGTTGAAAAATTAATATATTTGTCTCATACCAGACCGTACATATCTTATGTAGTTGGAGTGATAAGTTAGTACATGCATAATCCCAAAGAAATCATCTTAAAGTTGTTTACCACATTACAAAATGACTTTGCAAACCTACACAAACACTAACTATGTCAGATCCATAGAGTATAAAAAATCCACCTTTGGATATTTCACTTTCCTCATAGAAATTTTTGTAACTTGGAGGAACAAAAAATAAAATGTTGAAGTAAGATTATATGCAAAAACAAATTTTTAGGCTATGGCCTTAGGAATTTGCAAACTCCTATGGATAATAATTCTAGATAACCTAAAGATTGAATGGAATAAACCTGTAAAACTATATTGTGATAACAAATCAACAATAAACATGACATATAATCTAGTGCAATATGTTAAAACTAAGCAGGCTAAAGTGGACAAACACTTCATAAAGGAAAAGTTGGACAAAGGGACAAGGTATATACCAAGATATTTATAGACAACTTTTGATTAACATTATTTAACCTCTCTTTAAATGTCTTTTTTTTTCTCCATACACTAATATCCCATAATTATGGAATTTTATTGTCTGTAATTTTATATTTATGAATAAGAATCATTGACCCTTAATTATATTCATAGTGGGTACAATGATGAGCAATACTAATTTAAAATTTTTCTTTTTTTGATTAACTTGTTATCTATGTAAAATCACATGCACTTCTATCAAATAGTATAAAAGTATTGTCTTGTAAAAATAATTAATAGTTTTTTTAAAATGAAAAGAAAATATTAAAAGTAATTTTGAAAAAAATGAAATGCGAGTATTTGAAATTACAAATTTAGATAAAAAATAATGATAAATACAAAGATATGATAATATTTGTGTAATAATTTTGTCATTTTGTTTCGATTAATAACAATCATTTTATGAGTAACTAATAACAAATGAGACACCTAAAAATTATTCTTTAGTAAATTTAAATTTCTTAAATTTTTTTAGTTTTACTTTGATGTAACATTTTCATTTTTTATATTAAAAATAATTATGTCTTTTAAACATAATGATTATGATTCATTAGGAAACAACCAAAAGTTGTTAGCTCAAATAATTCAACACGGGCTCCTTAATCAATGATCAAGGTTCGACCCTTAGTTTGAACATGAAGTTGCAATTGAAAAATCACTTTATCTCAATAGGGTAAACCTGGTGGAAAGGAGTTATATCTCCTTAATAAACAAAAAAAAATTGATTAAATAAAAAAGAGAAACTTGATTGACAAATTAATTTAGTGGTCAAAACATCACAAGAAAGGAATTTAATTGTGACTTAACCATTTTCCTAAAACTTGTACCCTTCTGAACTTTCACTCAAGTTGCGTTGGTGGTTATCAGATATAGACATAAATGGTTTAGTTACTTAGAAGGATAATATCATTATTCATGAACTTATATTTAGAAGATTATAACTATCTTAGATGTATATTTTAGAAGTCTATGTTATGCTTAGAACATTATTTACAAATCAAAATTATTTATCATAAAAATGATGTTATAAAACATTACTTCAAGTTATCAAGGTTTAGTATTCAAAAGATTTTTGTGTTATTTATTATATTAAAAAATATAGTTCAACATACTATTTTTGCTCATAAGTCTATTCAACACTGATAAAGCATAATTAATACATGTTTTAGTATATAATATTGAGCTTATTTGACATTTAGAAGTGTCTTAGTGGACTATAATATTCTAAATTCTAGTTAATTTTTGTCCCCTTTGATATGTTGTCTTGCGTAGGCCATATCTAAAGTTCCCAAACTCGAAATCAAATGTTCTTGGTATCTCTAAAAAGCTAATATAGAGATATACAACTTATCTGTTGGGAGTTTTACCTAATTTGAATGTTTAAGGATCCAAAAATGCACCTCAATGTTATGTTTATGCACTTCATTTTGGGTTTACTTTAAGAACTTATTGTATTAGTAGTCTAACCTAGTTAATTAGTTGATTAGAGGGTCAGACCTAGTAAATATTCTAATTAGGCCCAATATATTGCTCTATCAATAGGTGTTGTGAGACTTATTATGTACAATTTACATCCATTTTTCAGATTTTAGAATTGTTTCCTCTATAAGTTTCTCTAAATTCTCTCTCTCCCTCTCTCTCATTCAGAATTTTCTTTCTACATTTTCTATACGAATTGATTGCAACAACTTGATGGAGATGCATAGCTATTTCGTTCAATTGATTTGAGATTCTATGAATTGTTGTAAAATTCGAGTTCCTGATCTATTTTTATCGTACAAATTCTCTTTGACTTCTCAATTCTAAATTTATTTTTTTATTCTTCATGATTATGAATTTCATTTTAATAGACCTAGATCAAAATTAAAGACTAATTTTGGATTTAGATATAGACCTAGAATAACATAAATCGCTTAAATCAAATGATCAATATTCTTGAATTTCACGAAAATTGTGAGACCACAATCGCATTTCACATTTATATGAAATTCAATAAATCTAGATTTAGATTTACATTTTAATTACATTCATGTTGATTTAGGTCATGTTAAGTCAAAAGATGATCTTGAATCTCTCAAGTTTTCAAAATTTTAATGACAACAAATAATTCATTTTTCTAAGATAAAATATTTTTGAAAA